GCATATGCGTCTCCATTTCATTTTTAAATTAGCAATTATTTTTATGTATTTATACACAGGTGAATACTTAAACAAGAATTTCAAAAAGTAATTCCTTTCTAAACTATCATGTCACTGAATAGTGGTTAAAATTATTAGAAAACGGTCAAATTTAGGAATACAGTTGTTCCACTTCTAGAGCAATAAAAGTCTCTGTAGGAAAAACACATTCCAAACACGTGGCCTGACCCTGACTTCCTGTGGGGGCAGAACAAAACAGAGAGCTGCAAGACACCGAATCTGGACGTGTCTTGCGGAGGTGGAGGTCACTTCAGCGCCTTTCGGGAGGCATTTCAGCCACACCGCAGCCAGAAAGCGAAAATCAAGATGTTTGAGGAGCAGGAGCAATAAGGCAATCGTTCCCCTCTGTCTCCTCCTAGCACGGATGACAAGCCTCTCACTGGGAAAATGACTCTGCATTGCCCTAGGCTTCCCGGTGAGAGGAGAGAGCGTGGCTGTACTTTAAGGTGGAATGGTTTAGAGGAAAAGCTTTTCTTTTTACCGGATGCTGAGTCCCCAATCTTAGTTTATTTTATTTTATTTTATTTTTTTCTCAGTGACTAAAATTTAGAATGCTATAACTTTACTGGAAACTATTTTATTCATTTTATGTGAAACAGACACTCATTACGAGTGGGACTGAGAACTAAAGATATATTGATCATTTATGATAGCAACCTAGGCCTCATCTATGTATTATGCTTGATGATTCTGAATCCTGAATCATAGATCCAGGCAGCCCAACAAAGGCCATGAAGTCCAAATCCTGTTTACGCAGATGCGGAAATGGAAGCCAGGAAGGGCAAAGTTAAAAGGCTACTCCGTTTTCTTCCTATTTCACATTGTAGGGGAAAAGTAATAAAGGAAAAGAAAAAAATATGAGAAAATGAAAAAACAGAAATGAAGTGTTTGTAAATGGGGAGGGGAGGAGGGGGTGAAGGGAGGGCAGGGACAAGGGGAAAAAATGAGACCCAAGACCTGTCATGTAAAGGTACAAGAGCCCAATGATGAATGTAACTGCACTGTATCCCTAAAATGTACCAATAAATTCAATGAGGAAAATAAAGAGCTATGCCGTAAGGACAGTCACTGATAGAGGCCCGTGTGACTTACGCTGGGCCTGGATTCTTCAAATGTAGAAGAATGAGTGTTTCTTTACACAGACAAATGTACAACTGTAGTTTCTTTGAAGATGCATATTAATATGATAAGGATAAAGGTTTCAATATTTAAAAAGAATTCCTCCAACATTTCAGAAGTTTAATACAGATAAATAGATAAAGCAGTAGAATGAGGCTTACTAGGCCATTTCTTTTAAACTTCCACCATCACAGAAGTGTCTAAAAGGTGGCTACTTAATAAAAATAAATGTTCAAATCATTTATTTTCCAAATAAGGATACAGCATAATATCCTGGTATTTAACACTACTTCCTGTGTTTCTAAAGTCAGCTATTGTGTGCATACTTTTTGAAATAACAGTTTTCATTTAAATTGTCATTAGTTAGCATACAATTAAATTTCAGATTAAATGCTATGTGCTTCCTGTGTCTCTGTAGAGCAGTATATCTGCCTGTTGCTATGTCTGTGTCACCTCAATAGCAGAGAGAACATGTCTTAGTCCCTTTCTCTTCACGCATTACTTGAAGAAGCAGAAGTTCAGTCTGGCTAAGCTTCTGTCGGTGGCTGACCGGCTCCAAGACAGAAACAGGATGACAGAGGGTGTGGCGGAGAAAAAGGTGCTCATGCCATGGAAGCCAAGAAGCAGAGTGAGAGAAAAGAGAGGAGGCAGCGACAAGACTATTCCCTTCAAAACTGTGCTCCAGTGATCCACCTGCACCCAGGACCCTCCACCCAGGACCCACCACCTAACTAATTTAGTTACCAAAATGATCCATGGGTGGACACATTGATGCAAAAACAGTGCCGCATGATCTAATCACCTTTCTACACGAATGAGGCTTGGGGGGACATTTTAGATCTAAATCATAAGAAAATACTTCTACAACTTTTCCAGTCTTGAATGGCAATGAGAGCAAGACCCAACCACTGGAAAGAAGACACAACAGCTAGCGTGGGACTCTGCTCTGAAGCTGAAGGCCGAGCCTGCAGGAAACGAAGGACCCTATACCTAGGCCAGTGCTCAGGGCATCTAGACCTGCCACAGGATCGGGAAGATCAATTATTGGGCCCTGCTTCATCGCCACCTCCATACTTGTAATGACTACTCAGGTTTCTGTGACTGTGAGACTCAGGTGTGACCTTAGTGTCAGTCTGGATGGACAAAGAGCTATCTCAGTCACCAGTCCTCTAACCTTAGGGAGCAGGGCTATTCCCAGACCATTGCTTAAAAATTGTGTAGAGGCACATTCTCTAAGCAATGGTCTGGGAATAGCTGTGCTTGGTTGATGAACTGTAACATGGCAAAGATCTTAATGGCCCTGATTCTGAGGTCAGTGCTGCTTAGAGCACCCCTGGAAATAGCCTTGGGCCAGGTGAAGAAAAATGACTCTAGGCTGTTAGACTTCTGTTCTGCCCAGCATCAAAGTGGCTGGTTCCACTGTTTTGGGGTCTTGAGTCTACACTAGCAGCACACAACATAGCAGTATAAGCCCTGGTCCTACCCAGTGTTTTGCAGGAGTAGCTGGGCTGTGGGTTCAGGGTGGTGAAAACATTGTGGCATCAGTCCCCACAGGCATGGCATAGGGGCCTGGGGCTGGTACCTCTAGGTAATTCCCCCCCAGTACTGGCAGAAAACAAATTATGCACTGCTTGAGCTTAAACTAGGAACTATGGATGAAGCATCTGGGCCTACCTTGCCACAGGGAGAGGTTTGTGTGCATGGATTTCCCTTTTCAGGTGCCCTCGAAGTTCATATTGAACAGTACACTGAACAAACATTTGGAACAAACCTAATTTGGGGGCTCATAGAGCCTCTCATTTACTTTCTTTTTACTTTTGTTGTATAATACGTAACGATTACATTCACTATAGGCGATGAGTGCATGTATGTAACACATCTCAGCTCCCGGATGGCCTGCTAGTGTTCAGGCACTGACAACTCACCAATGGTGGATTCACATCATACCTTGACAGGTCCATCATGAACTGAAATAATAGAAGTGATGATAGGTTCAAATAAAATAATCTGTAGCTTAGAATCTCTGGAAAGGCAGCTGCAATCAAAGCCAGATTATAAATACTGGAAGGTATAACTGATGTTTCAATGCTCAGGTGATTTCATGCAATGAGGAAGAATCGGGAGTTTTCAAGAACCCATGACCACGTTGAAACATCAAAATAAGGGCAAGTTAGATTCGTGCAGCAGAAACGTGGGTGGTTGTCATAGGGTACCGTCTCTGCTCAGAAAAAGGAGAGCTTTCTCCAGGAGGACACCCTCAAGGATATTACTGGGAAGAAATATAATAAATGCATAGATTTGAGGTACTTTCAGCATTGTAACATTGTCTCATGTTCAAATAATCAATGAAACCCTGCTATTTACCACAGTTCATGGATACTTCAAACATGACGACCCTGAGCATTGCCAGCACCAAAGCCCCAAGGCTTCAAAATAACAAGTCAGATCTGACCTGAACTAATTTTGCTAATTTACGTAGGATATAGAGTTTGCTAACAATTATGAATAAGGAATGGATAAGTGCCTCCAGATAACTTAAGCGAGGCAACGTTATATCAAAGTCAACATTATATCTGAATTAAATTTTCTTTGATAAAAAAAATAGCTAGGAAGATATATTTCAAACACATACATGCACACATTACCGAATACCTACTCCACTTGGTGATACATATATGTAATGACATATCTTGTACTTTTAGAAACATGGGAAATAATCAGAGAACACTTCTAGGATTTGTCCCTTTAAAAACAAAACCAGTACTATTTCCTGATGCCTTAAAATGTTCAAATCAAGCAATAATACATTTATATGTAGGAATTCTTATTAATAATTGAAATATTTCTGTGGAAACCAATCTCTTAACCAGTTTGCCAAAGAATCTACTGTACACTGCAAATCAGCAAAATATGTTAAGGCAGATCATTCCATGAAGTATGCACCACGTGTCCATGTAAATAATTGAAACCCAACTGGTACCCCCACATCAGCCCACTCTCTTTCCTCAATTTCTCTTTCTTATGCTAAGTAAATTAGATATTAATGAAGATTTAGTTCATGGTCATCTGATCAAAAGTGGGCTTTGAAATTGTAACAAAATGAATTCTGTAGATGGTATTTGTGATGACTAAAGAATAGAATAACTGTAAATAATAATATATTCAATAGATAAAAATGTTAAATATTGGTAAATATAAGTCATATTAGGAAATTAAATCAGTATAAACTCACCTGCTATTTTTAGTGCACCTTCCGAGACAGTGTTGAAATTTCAACTTTGGATTTACAGTTGATAGTAACATGAAAATTACCTCAAAGTAATTATATGTATCTTATGCATTGATTTAATCAATGACTCCTCATTGCCACCTAATCTTATAGATGTCTTTGTTTGTATAACTATTGTTTCCATAATGAGGACATCATTTAGAGGTAGATTTCTTGGAACATGTCACTTGTCCTTAAACAATTCCTGGCTGTGCATATTTTCATTTGGTGGATATAATGCTTATTAATTTTTTAAAACTTAATACATGTGAGGACATTTAGAAGATCATCATCTAAAGTATATTTCAAAACCCTAAAACTCACTAAGAAACAATCGAAGATTAATGATTTACATTGGTCATTTGTTTCAAACTTTTGATGGCTTTAAAAATGGATTTTGCTGTATGTTGTCAAATTACCATTCCATAATAATGTCTCTCAAATCATACGTCAAGAAAAAATTAAATAAAAATAACATATTTATGCAGTGTATGCAATTCATTCTACTACAAAAACATAGACATGCCCAGCATTTTTGGAGTCTCTTTCTTACCTGTTTGTGAGCATGGTCATATGAATTAATGTGGTTGTCAAATTCTTGATGTTTATAGTACTGCTTGTCACAGAGTTCACAGTAAAAATTAGCCTTCAGATCTTCCAGAGCTTTTGCGATGGTATTCTCTTTCTCAGCATAGTCCTGAAAAATAAATTGTCAAGGAAGGACTCAATTAGCTCTCCCTAGAGTTTACTTTATTTTGACAGTTGTCAACTTCATTATAATAATTAGAAACTAAATATAACAAAAAGAAAACAAAATCAAATGCCAGCAAACCAAATTAGAACAAAAATCAAGAGCTAAGGAAAGAAAATAAAGGATTTACAGGTAAAAACCAAAGTAAATGGACAGAAGAGCAGAAATAGGATGAAAAGTAAATTGCAGAACTAGAAGTCTTTTGTTGATCAAGTTTTTATTCTATGTTAGCATAAAAAAGAAAATAGTACACTTATGTTGATTCAACTCTACATTTCTGGCAATAGCTTAGTGAGTATGACTTCTATTTTGAACATCAAAAGCGTGTATTGTTTGAAGACTTCAGTGTCGGTGTACATATATTCAGTTTGGTAATTTGTTTCCCTAAATATTTGTCTAGTACTTATTGTCCTTTCAAACTAGATATCAGTGGACTAATGTTTTTATCCTGACCCATGTAAATTTACATCAAAATTTAAACATCAGTCTTTGAAAAATAAATTACTCTTCTCCGAGTCATTTAATTGATCTATGTAAACTAAAAATGATGAAACCGTACAGAAGACGCATTCAAAATACATGCAGGGCATAAGTTTGGCTCTATAACCATATCTGAGAAAATAAAGTATATGGTCAACCATCATTAGCTTTTGTTTGAGGCCATAAATTAGGAAATTATTTAGCTGTGGCTTTCAGGTTTTTGTATATTTAATATTAATTAATATTTCTTACCTGCTTAAACATTTATGTTGCCAGATGTTAATTAAGGTGTTGAATCATTGAGTTTTTTTCCCTGAAGTGCTGATATGAAAAAGATCTACCGTAGACTATTATATTGCTAAGTTTAAAACTTTCTTATGTCAATTCTTGATATAAAATTTGAAGCAACTACATATTTAGTCTTCATGTGCTTCTGTAAGACACTTTTTTAGGCTTTGGGCCTTAAGATGACATAATGTTATCTTTTCTGTGGTGATGACGAATGTCTTCTCTACACATAGGCTGGAAAAAAACCTCACAGTTTGTTTAAGTTGTTTCTATGAAATGTAAAATTGGTTACTATTATTTTAATTGGTAATACTGTCCTTATTTTATTGTATTATTGTACTATTTGTTTGCACATAAAACATATATAATATATTTTCCCATGACATAAGTGCATGTCTTATAATAATCAACAATTTATCATAATCAATGAATATGTAACACATTTTCTCACTTAAGCTATAGAGCAGTAATCCATTGTTTGGGTTTATTAATTATATCAACTTCACAAGAAGAACCGTTGAATTGTAAGATATTTTAAGTTGTTTATGTAAGATTCCATTGATTTCAATATATAGCTTACTGTTTCTTAGCAGACTTCTGAACTATTTCCAATTATTCTACTTTATTACTTCTACTGTGATTTTAAAAGTTAGTTTAAATAGATGAATATGATTCATGTAGATCTGTTTATTGAATTTTTATTCAGTCTTTAAGATAATGCTGTACGTGCTAGCCAATTTAAATGAAACAAAATTTACTTTGATTTCACAGCTAAAATGGGTAAAGCAGAGATGGTCTTCCAGTGAACACAGATGTTGCATTATAATAATGGTAGTTTTTGTTCAAAAATGAATTTACCCTCAGGGCAATGTTCAACTAACAAAAAATTCTGCACAAACTTGCCTATTCTCTTCATTAATTATAATTATAGCAAAGTTTACTTCCTTTTTCTAAATATTTAATTATTTTTTCATAATGCATTAAAATTTTTTCTTCCTAACACTGGTATTCCACTATAGAGACAATTACTGTTTTCTACATAGTCTGTTTGAAAATACAGGAAAGCTTTGAATGAAATAAAGTATTATTAAAGGCAAATTGTTTTCTTCACAATGTTAGACTCAGCTTTGATTTGAAGAGAAACAATTTGAAAATAATAGCAACAAGTAAGATTTATTTAGTGCTCATTTAGTCTTAGGCATTAAGAATATGGATGTGCTAACTTCTTTAATTCTGATTAAAATGATAGAAAGGTATGTTCAAAACCTTTCCTCAATTTACATGTGAGACTATAAAAGGGCAGGAAAAGTAAATAACCAGCTTCAGAATATAAGGAGCAATTGTGCAACCTGTATCAGAACCCATATAATCTGGTGAATAGCATTTCATTATTTTTAAACTATTACGTTTTAGAGAGAGACTATCATAATCTCTAAGTGGTTACCATTACCATTAATTACACAAGATCAAACTCATTTCCGCTTATGAATCCAATCTTATACCTTCAGCTCAGCCCCAGAAAATTGATGAGAAAATCTGAAAACTTCTATGATCTTATATGTAAATCTTTTAGCATATAGCTTTAAATCAGGAGTAAAAAAAATAAAAAATAAAAAAACTACATAATCACAAAACCATTATAAAGGCTAAGTAATCAATTAAAAACTATAAAGAAGCAAGCAGCCCTTACTGTCATTGAATATTCAGTGCGTGTGTTCAAACAGCTCTAATCATTCAATATTTTAAAATTGGCTGTTCATAAAAAGGTTCAAAGACCTCACATATCACCACCATCTGATAAGTTTCTGGGTCCTTTTTGTGCTACAGGTTAATTTTCCTTGATTCACAAGTTCCATTTTTTTTTCTCACAATAGTTTGCTTTTCAAGTAACTATTTCTTATGACAATTCGTATCTCAGCTTTAAAAAGATATAGCTTGCATTTTTAAAATGTCCAGTAGTATAGAAAAGTTGTAAAAATATGACAGTTGCCTCTGACCCAGACTTTACTTGAGTGAAACCATTGTCAATGTTGGGCCACATCTATGCTCTGCTTCCCTTCTTCCTACCGCTACCCTGCTCTAAAGTGTTACTGAACGCAGTGCGGCCTTTCCCAGAGGAGAAGCCCCTGGGTTTTACCTTGACATGAACGGCAGCAAGGAATGGGAGACATATTTCACAAAACATTAAAATAGAATGACTTCATTCACGTATTGTTTTAGCAATATATATTCTATTTATTCATACAGAAGATTATTTTATTCACGTATTCATGGCATTAAGGATGTCATAGGGAAAAGAGTCTTCTGTATTATTATTGATCATAAATGTAAAAGTATGCGGACAACATCAGTCAGCTAGACTGATGTGTCCCACGGCCCTTCTCCCTCTAAATTATAAATGATATTGAAATAGAGATTGACTGAGAGTATAAAGCAGATTAATACATATTTGACACAGCGGTCCCACTGAAGCAGGCAAGAAATATATTTCAGTAAAACAGAAAAGGAACATAGTTGCTCACGTATATTTAACTCTAAAAATTTCCCCCTCTCTCTGGGGAAAATTTTCTATATGCTGCTACAAACACAACTTTTGCAGTGTGTACTTAATGTGATGGTAGAAAGCAAAGAAGAAAAGGACAGTTTCTTGTAGTTAGTCAGGTCATCCGAACCCATTTATTTTATATTTATCTAAACACAGTCACAGCTGAATCTTTGTTGTCAGGAAGTCAATACCCATATAACCTTAAAGTCGTGGTCAAAAATCTTTTGATTCTCAGCCTTGACAATGAGGAAATACAATAAGTTTTGCAGTTCAGCCAATAGACATAGAGAAATGAGTGGTCTATCATGGCCACAAGACTGCTGCATTCACCCTATAGAAAATGTAAATACTATAAAAGAAAAACCCTTAAGAGAGAAAATTTTCCTTTCCAAAATGATGCACCTTATGACAACTTCATTATAAAATATGGCATCAAATAGTATTTAGCCTCTCTTTCCTTCTACCTGCCTTAAAGGGTGTGTATGATAGAAAGCTGAGCAACATTCCCAGATGAATCTCAGAGGAAATTCCATTTTATCCTGTGCCTCTAGATCTTTAGCAGAGACAGCAGTAGCGATAGGTAGTAAAGAAACACTTTTGGTTTGAAAGTGATTATAGTGTAAAAGTGAGACGATGTCAACCAGGTGGTATAATAGAACTCTCCAATTCTCTTTCCCACAAAAACATCAATTTGAACAAATATTCATACATAAAAAATACCTTCACAAGAGCTCAGGAAACCAAGTGAAAGGTTACAGAATGCAAATATAGCACAGAAACAAGAAAACACATTGCACTGACAAGTGTAAGAAGCAGTTTCACATTATTTGGATCACTTCTCCATAAATCCCACCTAGCAAAGTGTGGGGAGGAATATTTTCTTTTGGAGGACGTGAGTATCGATGCTCACTCGATGCTCAACACTGATCCATCCTGCCCAGGTAAAATTTCCCCAGCCTGTAGAGCCTAGGTGGGACCCCTGGTTCCAGGCTGTCTCTCAGTCCCAGGATCCAGGCCTTTTCAGCAAACACAGTCTCTTAAACTGGTCAGAGTGCCAAGCTCTGGACCAATTTAGTCCCAGCCGATATCAGGCCAGTCCTTAATGGAGGACAGAATAGGACCACACCTGGGTCACAGTCTTAGCCAGAAAGCTGTCACCTGCAGACCCAATCTCCAGTTAGTTCAATAGAAACAGGATTCAGACCTATTCAGCACCCAGCCAGGCCCACAGGGCCCTAAGCTTCAGGTCTACCCCAGCACAAAAGTTGGCACCACTGGTCTCAAGCACAGGTAGGGAATTGCTTACTCTGGTTACTGAGTTGCCAGTACCAGATTGAACCCCACAGGACTCATAGATTAGCCTTTGCAGCATGATCCTCTGGGAGACCCAGAATCTAGTTTTTTTCCAGTAGATCTCAGCACTGGGGACTCCCCATAGATGTGCAGGCATTAGAACACCCCATAACCAGGTCTGTAGGTTGCTCCTGTGGAACAAGGATCTAGATCAGTCCTCAGAGACTTATTCATTAGGCCAATGCCAATACTCCCATCTTCTAGGCTAGCACTATTGATGCAGGCTGCAGATGAGTCTTCATTGCCCCAGGCACTAGAACACCAATGGTCCAGGCTGCTCCAGCAGATACCAGAAAACCTAGAGCAACACTAGATACTGAAGATCAAGGTTTTAGGCTTCCTAGGCTCAGAAAGCAGGAAAGACTATTTCATAATACTGATAAAATGTTAATCAATGGTATAATGTTGATTAATGACTATTAAATTATGTTTTGATAGACACAAGAAACTTTACGGTGGTATTACGCAGTGTGGCAACCGTAGATAAGCCTTTCTAAAGGAAGAAATCTTGTCATTCATGACAACATATATTAACCAGGAGAACAGTATGGCACCTGAAGTAAGTCAGGCTCCAAGAGACCGACACTGCACTACTTGCCTTCTACGTGGAATCTGAAAAAGTTTAACACGGAAGAAGGGAAGAGAAAGGTGGTTCCTGGGGAAAAAGGTTTTCTTATGGCTGAAGAGATGTTGACCAAAGAACAAAACATTTCCAGAGATCTCTGAACCGTGTGTTGACTGTGGCTAGTAACAACCCATTACATTCTTTAGAGCTCCTAAGTGTTTATACCACACATAAAAATATGAGAAGTATGTGAGTTGAGGCATGTATTAATTAACTTGCAGAAGCCATTTCATACTGTACGCCCCCTTCCAAACAACATGTACATAAAAACATACAAACTTTCCATTAATCCATTAAAATACATTCTAAAAGAGAAAATATGTATAAAAACAAACAGAAGGGAGAGTAGCAGCACCAGGTACACAACATTATTAAAGTGATTTTGGGTTTACGGTACACAAACGTTTGAACAATAATACTTTTTAAAGCTAACAGCAAGTCTGGCCATACACAAATTACCTTTGCCACACAGGAGTTGTGCTCACATAGTATATTCTAGTGTTTCTGCTGGAAATAGTTTATTTAAAGTATTCAAATTACAAAGATGGAACAGAGAGAGCACTGTTAATATGTAATTATTTCAAATGTTGAAAAGGAACATTTGTATATAATTTCCATCCAAAATACTTAAACTAAATTTTCCCTGTCTTATTGCTCTATCAAGAATAAAAGCATTCTTATGATTTATATGTAGGATAAATTACAGTACAGGCTCTTTTAAAAGAAGCAAAAAAAAAAAAGTCTTTGCTAAATTTTCACTATAAAAAATTAATAAAAGAAGAGATGACAAAAGTATTCTCTTTCAGAAGAATACCAAGACAGAAAATTTCATTTGAAAACCCTTCGTCTAAGCTTTCTGGGCCGCAGTGCACATTTTCTGCCTGTATTGCTTGTTTCAGTCATTACTTAAGTGACTGGCTGTGAGAGGGTTTCCAGCAGTTTTCGCGCTGCTACCTGACTGCATTTTCTCCCAGCATACTGCGCAGCAGCCTTCTGTTTCTGGCCCAGGGCTTCACTCATGGTACAGAGCTTCTACTCTCAAACGTACAACCCAGAAGTTTTAAGAAGCTAATGCCCCAAGTCCACCTGTGACCACCAGGGAAGCTGAGATCTCAAGCATAAATTCTTTCATTTCCCGGGCAGAAAGCTCTACGCTGCGCTTCAGTGATACACAGAGGGTCTCACAAGAGAGGAGAACAAGTCTGCTGCAATAGTGGCAGATGGTATAAGAACTTATCAGTTTTCCTTTCTTACCTGTCTTGCTTCTTTAGAACTGTATTCTTCTTTCTGTAATCACTTCTCAAATAAATTGCCTTCATTGAAGCCTTTTTCCTGGCCTTAAATTCCAAAGAAAACTCAAATAAGAGTGTAAGTTTGTTGTGTTTTCAGTGAATATCTTGCTGACAAGCTACATTTTCTTGAAAATTTGAGATAATATCATTTCTCAGTTCCAGCTCTCCAGCCGTCCCCACCATTACCAGAATAAGTATCCTTGAAATGGCACAGTGGTTCCCGTGCTACCTGGTTCCTGGCCGCAGTGCTATCATCATCCTCTTACACTGAAGCAACCTACCACTTCTGAAACTCGAGTAATTACATATACATTTTGCTGCTTAGACTTGTTATTTATTATTAGAATGTTCTCATACCAGATGTTAGCATGAAACATTTATTCACTACTTGCAGTTTTCTTGCTAAAATGCAGTTTACTCTAGGATGACTTTCCCTTTTGTTCTTTTGGGAAAAACTCCTTTTTATTCTTTGCATTTTTCTTTCTTTTATCTTTCCCTTTACCGTAAAGAAGGGAATATTTAATCGGGAAACAAACAAGTGCAAGTGACAGAAAACCTTTGCATACCAGAATCTCAAAGCTATATTAACAGTAAAAGAGAGACCCTACAAAAGAAGATATACAGAAAAGTGGTCATCACACTGCTACATAATTAGAAATATTAAGTCTTATCCCTCTCCTTGAGCAAAGTTTTTAGTGCTTGTAGTCTCCAGAGCGAGAAGAATGTCTTTTAGTGTGCTTGGTGTATGATTGGAGGTGACATCCCTAGAAGGCTTCAAGTTTGGAGATGATCTCTGGAAAAGCCAAGCTTTCAACTCCAATCCCCAACCTCAGAGGAAGGGCAAGAAGGAGAGGATGACTTAATTATTCTCACCTACATAATGAAACTTCTATAAAAACCCCTAACCCTTGACTTGGGGCTGGGTTGATAAGCACCTCAAGGTGAAGTTTCACAGAGGGAATGGACAATCCAGAGCCCTTTCTGATCCACAGTCAGATGTAGCTCTAACATCTGGCTGTTGCTGGATTATCTTCTTACAGTGAACTGGAAATATAAAGTAAACCATCCTTCTGAGTTTCATGGACTATTCTAGCAAGTTAACAAACCCAAGGACTTGGGGACCCATAAACTTAAACTGTTTTCTAGAAGTAGAGATTTGCTTGTTAAGTGCAGATAGTTTGCAGACTGATCCTTAAACCTGTGGACTCTGGCAATAACTCTGGACAGTTCATGTCAGAATTAAATCAAATTGTAAGACATCGAGCTGGTATCCAAAAAAATAGAATGTAAATTACTGTGAGGGGCAATCCCATGTATTTGAAATCTGAATGTCTTAACATGTCCCAGTAGTACTGAAGTTAGCCTTCATCTGACTTGAATCCCTTCCCTGTTTGGCAAAAGATCTTCCACTTCTGGGTGATAAAAGGTTCTTTTATTGTCTGGACATAAATAGCATTTTGCCCTGAAGGGCATGTTCTATTATCTAAAAGGCAAAAGGAAAAATCACAAGATACTTAAAAGGGACAGCTAAGTATCAAGTTCTGATAATTCATCAGAATCCAGACCTGAATTTAACTGAATTATACTAAAATATTCATTTAAGAAGGAGGGTTTTTTTTACAAAGATTTCACAGAAATGCAAAGTCATCAACACCATAATCAAAGGGGAAGGCAGAGGCTGAATACTAAAAAGGCTGAGTATTGAACATCTCATCTCCACTGAAAAGTCCAATGACCTCGTTAGATATAAACCAACAGTAAGGTAGAAGTACACTGTAATATGAATGACACATTTGTGAAACTGAAGCAAGAGAAGTCGTCTTTCACGAGGGATACTTTTTTTAAAAAATTAGTTTCAAAGTAACAAGATACAGTTATGATGTTTTAATTATTTCTCTTCTGTGATTTTTTTTTGTTTGTTTGGTTGGTAAAACTGCTGGACAAATAGCACAGTTCCAACCCTGGAACATTTTCATGTAAGAGGAATGTTAGCTTTCAAGCCTCAGCTGTCAAAAGTGCAGCTGGTTCCGGTCCAGTTGACTATGCTCACCATAAGATGATGCCTCTTTGGAAGCATCTATTTAATTTTTATCCTTTGATCCTTGGAAGCAATATCCTATGACGAGTACTGGTTGAACTTTCTAGTTAATTCATAGCAACAAATAGTACAACTGAAGAATGTAATAGAAGACTGCATTATACTTTTCCCTTCCCTTGTTTGGGTTAATTCTTTTAATATTTAGATAAAATTTTACATCACTTGATAGTCTATATAAGCAAGTTAGTCTCATATTTCCAGGAAAGAAAGAAAAATTAGGTCACATTTTATGAAGCTGAATACTGGCTGAGGTGTGTTTTACTTCTAGCTCATAAAATCCCCAAAGTAGAATTCTGGTACATAGATTGTACAGAGTCCCACTATGGAATATTAGCCACAGGGATTTAGGTGCTCACTTCACTTTAGAAATCTCTTAAATGTACAGGCACAGCCATTTTCTCTGAAAGCTAGAAGAAAGGCACGCAAACACGTGGTGCATACTTTTTACTTTTTCCAATAGTAGCAGCAGTCTAGAGTAAAATAGTCCAGGGTCTGTAGTAAATTGTGTCACTGCTGGTCTTTACTTGAGTTCTCGCAGAAGTAGAGGCTGAGACCATGAGTGTAAGTGATATATTCTGGGACCTCAGGAAACTCTGGTAAGAGACCGTCCTAGAATAAAATGCTGATGGGGTCTTGTGTTACACTTTTACATGTCCAAATCTAGGGAGTCATCATTCCTATATTAATTAATTAATTAAAACTAGAACCCATTTTTTTCTTGAAATTATTGGAGGACAGAGATCACAAGATAAAGTACCACCCAAACTCTGGAAAGAAAAGCACATTCAGAAGTGCCAGGTGCAATTGAAAAATACAATAAACATTTACATTTTTAAAATTACAGTAAAAGATACATTGCCATTGATCTCCCTGAAAATATTCTTTCTTTCTTCAAAAATTCTTATCCCATTTCTCCTTTCACTTTGGGAAGAAGTTCTGGAAGTTCTATGATGAGTGTCATTAGATACACTGTGATGGCTGACTCGGTGTCTTAAATCAATTCAAGACATTTAGCTGGCATGGTCATTTTGACCTGGGGGAAGAGTCAGAAGTCAGATGAAACAAGATCAAAGAAGGAAAATGGATGAGGATACAATGTAATGTTTAATGAACCTGTCATTGTATTGAACAATCCTCACAAGCAGCAGGATTCACTGTGTTTTTGATCCACACCTATGAAAACATTCATGAAAAAGTACTTGCTCACAGAACTGCTTCAGAAAGGACAAGAATGATGGTATCAGTGTGCTCGAAGAGAGGGCGAGTATTGTGAAGGGGATCAGTGGCCATGTGCCTTTTACTAGGATAGATATATTGTTTTAAACATTCCCAGTCCACTTTTATCATGTCTGTATAGAAACTAAGATCTGTTTAGTTGGCTCAGAAGTCACCTCTTCCAGGATCAGGTAGGGACTCTGACATATTAACTCTGACAAACTTCTGTAGGCTGTGTTCTGCCGAGTGGCACTGAAACCCTTGGGAGCAAGAGTCTCAGAGTGACCACCGAACGTGTTCTTGGCCTTCATTCTCATGATGATTACCCCCATTACATTCTTTAAAGCTCCTAAGTGTTTATACCACACAGAAAAATATGAGACGTATGTGAGTTGAGACATGTATTAATTAACTTGCAGAAGCCATTTCATACTGTACGCCTCCTTCCAAACAACATGCATAAAAACATAGAGATGTTGACCAAAGAACAAAACATTTCCAGAGATCTCTGAACCGTGTGTTGACTGTGGCTACTAACAACCCATTACATTCTTTAAAGCTCCTAAGTGTTTATACCACACAGAAAAATATGAGACGTATGTGAGTTGAGACATGTATTAATTAACTTGCAGAAGCCATTTCATACTGTACGCCTCCTTCCAAACAACATGTACATAAAAACATACAAACTTTCCATTAATCCATTAAAATACATTCTAAAAGAGAAAATATGTATAAAAACAAACAGAAGGGAGAGTAGCAGCACCAGGTACACAACATTATTAAAGTGATTTTGGGTTTACAGTACACAAACGTTTGAACAATAATATTTTTTAAAGCTAACAGCAAGTCTGGCCATACACAAATTACCTTTGTCACACAGGAGTTGTGCTCACATAGTATATTCTAGTGTTTCTGCTGGAAATAGTTTATTTAAAGTATTCAAATTGCAAAGATGGAACAGAGCGAGCACTGTTAATATGTAATTATTTTAAATGTTGAAAAGGAACATTGTATATAATTTCCATCCAAAATACTTAAACTAAATTTTCCCTCTCTTATTGCTCTATCAAGAATAAAAGCATTCTTATGATTTATTTGTAGGATAAATTACAGTACAGGCTCTTTTAAAAGAAGCAAAAAAAAAGTCTTTGCTAAATTTTCACTATAAAAAATTAATAAAAGAAGAGATGACAAAAGTATTCTCTTTCAGAAGAATACCAAGACAGAAAATTTCATTTGAAAACCCTTCGTCTAAGCTTTCTGGGCCGCAGTGCACATTTTCTGCCTGTATTGCTTGTTTCAGTCATTACTTAAGTGACTGGCTGTGAGAGGGTTTCCAGCAGTTTTCGCGCTGCTACCTGACTGCATTTTCTCCCAGCATACTGCGCAGCAGCCTTCTGTTTCTGGCCCAGGGCTTCACTCATGGTACAGAGCTTCTACTCTCAAACGTACAACCCAGAAGTTTTAAGAAGCTAATGCCCCAAGTCCACCTGTGACCACCAGGGAAGCTGAGATCTCAAGCATAAATTCTTTCATTTCCCGGGCAGAAAGCTCTACGCTGCGCTTCAGTGATACACAGAGGGTCTCACAAGAGAGGAGAACAAGTCTGCTGCAATAGTGGCAGATGGTATAAGAACTTATCAGTTTTCCTTTCTTACCTGTCTTGCTTCTTTAGAACTGTATTCTTCTTTCTGTAATCACTTCTCAAATAAATTGCCTTCATTGAAGCCTTTTTCCTGGCCTTAAATTCCAAAGAAAACTCAAATAAGAGTGTAAGTTTGTTGTGTTTTCAGTGAATATCTTGCTGACAAGCTACATTTTCTTGAAAATTTGAGATAATATCATTTCTCAGTTCCAGCTCTCCAGCCGTCCCCACCATTACCAGAATAAGTATCCTTGAAATGGCACAGTGGTTCCCGTGCTACCTGGTTCCTGGCCGCAGTGCTATCATCATCCTCTTACACTGAAGCAACCTACCACTTCTGAAACTCGAGTAATTACATATACATTTTGCTGCTTAGACTTGTTATTTATTATTAGAATGTTCTCATACCAGATGTTAGCATGAAACATTTATTCACTACTTGCAGTTTTCTTGCTAAAATGCAGTTTACTCTAGGATGACTTTCCCTTTTGTTCTTTTGGGAAAAACTCCTTTTTATTCTTTGCATTTTTCTTTCTTTTATCTTTCCCTTTACCATAAAGAAGGGAATATTTAATCGGGAAACAAACAAGTGCAAGTGACAGAAAACCTTTGCATACCAGAATCTCAAAGCTATATTAACAGTAAAAGAGAGACCCTACAAAAGAAGATATACAGAAAAGTGGTCATCACACTGCTACATAATTAGAAATATTAAGTCTTATCCCTCTCCTTGAGCAAAGTTTTTAGTGCTTGTAGTCTCCAGAGCGAGAAGAATGTCTTTTAGTGTGCTTGGTGTATGATTGGAGGTGACATCCCTAGAAGGCTTCAAGTTTGGAGATGATCTCTGGAAAAGCCAAGCTTTCAACTCCAATCCCCAACCTCAGAGGAAGGGCAAGAAGGAGAGGATGACTTAATTATTCTCACCTACATAATGAAACTTCTATAAAAACCCCTAACCCTTGACTTGGGGCTGGGTTGATAAGCACCTCAAGGTGAAGTTTCACAGAGGGAATGGACAATCCAGAGCCCTTTCTGATCCACAGTCAGATGTAGCTCTAACATCTGGCTGTTGCTGCATTATCTTCTTACAGTGAACTGGAAATATAAAGTAAACCATCCTTCTGAGTTTCATGGACTATTCTAGCAAGTTAACAAACCCAAGGACTTGGGGACCCATAAACTTAAACTGTTTTCTAGAAGTAGAGATTTGCTTGTTAAGTGCAGATAGTTTGCAGACTGATCCTTAAACCTGTGGACTCTGGCAATAACTCTGGACAGTTCATGTCAGAATTAAATCAAATTGTAAGACATCGAGCTGGTATCCAAAAAAATAGAATGTAAATTACTGTGAGGGGCAATCCCATGTATTTGAAATCTGAATGTCTTAACATGTCCCAGTAGTACTGAAGTTAGCCTTCATCTGACTTGAATCCCTCCCCTGTTTGGCAAAAGATCTTCCACTTCTGGGTGATAAAAGGTTCTTTTATTGTCTGGACATAAATAGCATTTTGCCCTGAAGGGCATGTTCTATTATCTAAAAGGCAAAAGGAAAAAATCACAAGATACTTAAAAGGGACAGCTAAGTATCAAGTTCTGATAATTCATCAGAATCCAGACCTGAATTTAACTGAATTATACTAAAATATTCATTTAAGAAGGAGGGTTTTTTTTACAAAGATTTCACAGAAATGCAAAGTCATCAACACCATAATCAAAGGGGAAGGCAGAGGCTGAATACTAAAAAGGCTGAGTATTGAACATCTCATCTCCACTGAAAAGTCCAATGACCTCGTTAGATATAAACCAACAGTAAGGTAGAAGTACACTGTAATATGAATGACACATTTGTGAAACTGAAGCAAGAGAAGTCGTCTTTCACGAGGGATACTTTTTTTAAAAAATTAGTTTCAAAGTAACAAGATACAGTTATGATGTTTTAATTATTTCTCTTCTGTGATTTTTTTTTGTTTGTTTGGTTGGTAAAACTGCTGGACAAATAGCACAGTTCCAACCCTGGAACATTTTCATGTAAGAGGAATGTTAGCTTTCAAGCCTCAGCTGTCAAAAGTGCAGCTGGTTCCGGTCCAGTTGACTATGCTCACCATAAGATGATGCCTCTTTGGAAGCATCTATTTAATTTTTATCCTTTGATCCTTGGAAGCAATATCCTATGACGAGTACTGGTTGAACTTTCTAGTTAATTCATAGCAACAAATAGTACAACTGAAGAATGTAATAGAAGACTGCATTATACTTTTCCCTTCCCTTGTTTGGGTTAATTCTTTTAATATTTAGATAAAATTTTACATCACTTGATAGTCTATATAAGCAAGTTAGTCTCATATTTCCAGGAAAGAAAGAAAAATTAGGTCACATTTTATGAAGCTGAATACTGGCTGAGGTGTGTTTTACTTCTAGCTCATAAAATCCCCAAAGTAGAATTCTGGTACATAGATTGTACAGAGTCCCACTATGGAATATTAGCCACAGGGATTTAGGTGCTCACTTCACTTTAGAAATCTCTTAAATGTACAGGCACAGCCATTTTCTCTGAAAGCTAGAAGAAAGGCACGCAAACACGTGGTGCATACTTTTTACTTTTTCCAATAGTAGCAGCAGTCTAGAGTAAAATAGTCCAGGGTCTGTAGTAAATTGTGTCACTGCTGGTCTTTACTTGAGTTCTCGCAGAAGTAGAGGCTGAGACCATGAGTGTAAGTGATATATTCTGGGACCTCAGGAAACTCTGGTAAGAGACCGTCCTAGAATAAAATGCTGATGGGGTCTTGTGTTACACTTTTACATGTCCAAATCTAGGGAGTCATCATTCCTATATTAATTAATTAATTAAAACTAGAACCCATTTTTTTCTTGAAATTATTGGAGGACAGAGATCACAAGATAAAGTACCACCCAAACTCTGGAAAGAAAAGCACATTCAGAAGTGCCAGGTGCAATTGAAAAATACAATAAACATTTACATTTTTAAAATTACAGTAAAAGATACATTGCCATTGATCTCCCTGAAAATATTCTTTCTTTCTTCAAAAATTCTTATCCCATTTCTCCTTTCACTTTGGGAAGAAGTTCTGGAAGTTCTATGATGAGTGTCATTAGATACACTGTGATGGCTGACTCGGTGTCTTAAATCAATTCAAGACATTTAGCTGGCATGGTCATTTTGACCTGGGGGAAGAGTCAGAAGTCAGATGAAACAAGATCAAAGAAGGAAAATGGATGAGGATACAATGTAATGTTTAATGAACCTGTCATTGTATTGAACAATCCTCACAAGCAGCAGGATTCACTGTGTTTTTGATCCACACCTATGAAAACATTCATGAAAAAGTACTTGCTCACAGAACTGCTTCAGAAAGGACAAGAATGATGGTATCAGTGTGCTCGAAGAGAGGGCGAGTATTGTGAAGGGGATCAGTGGCCATGTGCCTTTTACTAGGATAGATATATTGTTTTAAACATTCCCAGTCCACTTTTATCATGTCTGTATAGAAACTAAGATCTGTTTAGTTGGCTCAGAAGTCACCTCTTCCAGGATCAGGTAGGGACTCTGACATATTAACTCTGACAAACTTCTGTAGGCTGTGTTCTGCCGAGTGGCACTGAAACCCTTGGGAGCAAGAGTCTCAGAGTGACCACCGAACGTGTTCTTGG